CCACTCGAGTCCCTTAGCTTTCAGCAATACTTATCGAATTTGCCATTTTAAATCCACCTTTACTTAGATGAGGTAGAATTGAACTTAACGAGCAGCTTGAGAAACTGCCTAACCTACACATGTTCGCAGAAAGTAGGCCTAGTCAAAATGAGTTTTGAGGAATGTTTTTTTTTCTAAAAACACGCGAATGTTGAACAAAAAATGCTAACGAGTGTGGTCTTGGTCAGAATGGCTCCTAGGACACGAGAATATGCAATTCCCCGCTAATAGAGGTATAAGAGGTAACATTAAAAATGAAATGTGGGCAGAATCTCGACAGTGCTTTAAATGCTCATTTTTAACACTGAAGTAGTATGCTACCAAGGACTGCAATGGCCCTCACTAGGAAGAGCTTCCAGCAAGAAAGGTTCTTACTTTAGAAGTGTTCGTCAGGCCTACTGATCCGTATTTCTTGTTCGGCTTTCGCCAAAAACAGGTAAATCCATCTGATTTACTAAATTAGCAGCGAATATCAAGGCAGCACACAAAGGGAAGATGCTGGATTCGAAATTGCGCGTGTGGTTGGCGCACGACAGGGCAGAACACCCGAACGGTTTAACGTAGAGTTAGAGCAATGGGGGTTCATTGTTAAGCAGTGCATAATCATTTTAGTGACGTTAGCCAGTCCAGTATTTGAAGGTTATAAAAATCCAAAGGGCTAGTCCTTGATGCTCTAATCCTTACGCAAGCAGAGCAGACTACGACGGTTATATTACAGATAGATTTTGAAATAAATCTTCAACAGCGTTTTACGCTGTCAGTCCGTGAGTGTAAAAACTTGATATTCGTGTATGTCACGCGCACGTTTGAAAACCAATACAAAGTATATCGAGGAGAGAAATGAATCCTAGACTAAAACAGGACAGTAGTGGGGGCCGAGAATTTCGGTCTGTCCTGCCAAAATGCATAGTAAGTGGCTTTTGGGTTCAGTTCAAGTCAGACACAAAAAGGAACGTGATGTGTAAGCGCTGAAAAGATAATTCCATAGACACAACAGCAAACTACAGACGACGCACTACGAACAAGTTTGTTGAAGATAATAATCTCAAAATGCCGATAGTAACAGCGGAAATGGCCAAGGATATACGCGTAAAATATTGACGGACGGTTATGGGCTAGATACTGGACGTTCAATACTTGAGACAGGGCTCAATTACATCACGACCACTGGGACTAAAACGTTAAACCCAAATTAAATTGTCATGATCGAGAATTCAGACATTAAGATGCCAAGAGATTGGAATGCCAGAAACCCATATAAAAACGTTCGGTGAAACTTGAGAAAATTTGGAACTCACACGAGTCGGGAGCTCCGGAAGAGCTATCTGTGACCCACCCAAGATAATGCGTTCGAGTTCTGCGACACGAGCTTCCAGAGCCGCCACACTCATCTAGGAGAGGTTAGGTTACTAAAGAACGCGAGTCAGTAGTCAAATGGAAAGAGTCTTATTAACGAAACTAATATTTATTATGCTAAAAACCTAAGAAGCTACAGCGTTAACGGGGGTTGGGTTGGGGTAGTCTTTTAGGTTTCATTCGATCGATGAAGTCGAAAAACGACCATTTGTTGTGCTTGTAGTACTCCGGGGTCATGTACGTATTGCCAGTTTTTTTGAGAGGGCTCGACTTTGGAGCAGTGGTTGTGCCACCTAGGATGACATAGAACACTATCTTGAAACCTGCCTTTAACAGTTGATTTGGGGCCGGTGGCTACATAGCGGCACAACCGCAGAGCGATTACCCGTGCTCTTGGCATCCCTGAAAGCGTATGGTTTAGGACGGGTCTAACTGTTAGGCATTTCAGAAGTCCAGAAAAAAAGTAATAAAGGAAATTTATTTAATTCAAATTTGTACAAGTTAGGTAATCGTGGGTAGTACATATTGTATGTTATTGGCCTTTGAAGACTGGGATATCACATAAATACACTTTGGACTTATAACCCGTAATTTCGGGGTTTTGAGCACTCAGTCTCGCGCATACTCGTAGATGTAACTGCGTACTTGTTGCCTAAATGCCTCCGGATCACGAGCGTATTGTTCAGCCGCTTCGGTATTAAGAGCGTCGTTGAAATCACAAAGATCAGAGAATAGTGATTCAATTCCCCACACGACGTCGCATATCTTTCTTGTCGGCGCCCAGCCCGAAGAATCCAGTGAGCTGGGGCGCAGAAGACTAAGACAAACCCTTCCTTCCTCGTCGATGTTGGGGTGCCAAATTTTTGTAACACACTTAACGAGAGGTGGACAGTGGTTATAACCTTCAGGAACTGTTATGTCAAACTGGAAACGTCCTCCTGCCCAAAAACCCTCCTTTGGCTTCACAACCAATTCGAGTAGATGCAACTTATTAGGGTCTATGTGACGGAGTTCGCACTGTGGGGTAAGGTTAGACTTGAGATCAGGAAGTTCCTGAAGAAGAAGTTTGTCGCGAATGGTGGCATTCCTAATGGATACTGAATCCACTGAATCTGGTTCCTTAGGGAGCTCCCCGCGTTGTTTTTGGCGAATACGATCGGCTAAACGCAACATTGTCAATGCTTATGTTGGCTGGCAGTCAAATTTATATGGCAGGTTCAAGTCCGAATGTTAATTCGTAATTTTCCTAATCCTGTAAAGGTCGCATATTACTCAGTATCCCAAATGGCTCCACTCTACCTAAAAGAAAATTAGGTCAGACTTACTGGTCAAATTTGCTTATAACCATTCAACCACCTCCTTGTATGACGGAATTACGTTTCAAATTTTCCATTCCGAAGGCAACATACCTGCTCGAATTGACACTTCGAAATAAGATAATATAGGGATCATGGTCTTTGCGAACAGTTACTTGGGTGAAAATCTAGGTTTTTCCTAATAATTTGTGAGTGCTTCAGGCAAGATTCTGCGGCTCAACTAAGCATGCTGAAATGACGAGCAAATTAGACCCAAATTAAATTGTCATGATCGAGAATTCAGACATTGATTGATACCAAGCGATTGGAATGCCAGAAACCCATATAAAAACGTTCGGTGAAACTTGAGAAAATTTGGAACTCACACGAGTCGGGAGCTCTGGAAGAGCTATATGTGACCCGCCCAAGATAATGCGTTCGAGTTCTGCGACACGAGCTTCCAGAGCCACCACACTCATCTAGGAGAGGTTAAGTTACTAAAGAACGCGAATCAGGCCCCAAGCTTAGCATGGCCAACGGCCGCAGAACTACCAGCATTTTCCACGCTTTCTTCCCCCCTCCCTCTCCTAATCACCCTGTCACTACCCGCTTTTTATCAACCCAAACCCCAAGCCCCCATTCCCAAGACTAAGTTGATTAGAACGATAATTAATTGATTGCTTGTTACCCTGTACCTTTCCGTTCCATATGCATGTAATGGCCCGAAGATAATTTATCGAAAGTATACGTATGCTCGCCACCTGCCCTTCTGAATTATCGAATGGGGATTTTCGCAACGTTAAAGCAGTCCAA